TACTAACAAGAGGGGGGGCTCAGGGCTTAAGAAGGCTTTCTCCCCATTTGAAAAGGACAGACAATTATGTGTCTATGGGAATGAGCCCATGGGAAGGAGTGGTTAGGCTATTGGTCATTGACTGACCAGGGGCACAAGGAAACCAGTATTTCTCCAAGGAAAGGCATAGGGCCTGGGAAATCTGGACACTATAAATTGACTGCAGTCACTCTCACTTGCTTAGCTGTCTGCTTTTAGTCCATCATTTCAACCTTTCTTCTAGCCAGAGCCTTCTCAACATATTCAGTCTATCTTCCCTACGTGTTCTGTCACACCTACTGATCTCCTAGCTGTCTTTGCTATTTCTTTCTTGCTCATGAACACTGTCAGGGGACCTGGTCCAATCAAATGAAATTATGTGGGGCTCCTGCTGGTGCTTGGCCTCCATTGAAATTCCAGTGGCCTGATGAAGGAGATGTCTAAGGTATTTAAATGTGAGACTCCCCACAAAACTGACCTCCTCTCATATTCTACTACATCTTCCCCTCCTTCTAAACTTGAACTTTTCCTTTTTATCAGACTTGCCCTTCTAGTGCCCCTCCTACTACGTGGTGTGAGCCCAGTTCAGCTGCAGCCCCTCCTCTCCTGTCTAATTCAGTCTATCCTTTCAGGCCCAAGACAGTATCCACTTTTCCACTAAATCTCAGCACCACTACCCCAGTCATTACTCTGGTCAGATAAACTTACTAGAGCTGAGGTCACATGAACTTAGGTTCAAATGAAGGTTCCAGTGGTGTCTATGTAACCTTGGGCATGCAAGTCTACGTTTCTCTACCTCAATTTCTTCATTGGTTAAATACCTATCAACTAGTTTCTTCATTGGTAAAATACCTATCAAATAGTTTTGTGACAATGAAATGAGATAATGTACAGAAAGTCCTTAGCAAAGGGTCCAGCTCATAGTAAGTGGTCAAAAAATGGTAGCTGTACTGTTTTTTAATTCTATATATGGAAAAACTTGTGAGTTTTTTTTTTTTTTTTCTTCAAGGCAGGGGCTGAGTCTTACACTGATTTAAACTGGTACAAAGCTCGGCATATAATAAATGCCTAAGAAACATTTGTTGGTTTGACTTTAGGTGAGTTCATGATTACCCAAAATTACTTGCTTTGGAAGAGGGAACATTGTTATAAAATTCTCCATTATTCCGTCATTCATTTTGACCAAGCCAATTTTAATGAATACTTTTGCCTTGCTCTTTGGTGATTTGGGACTTCCTTGTGGTGGTATAGTAGATAAGGCATTTGGCTGCTAACCAGGTCAGTGGTTCAAACCTACCAGCTGCTCCATGGAAGGAAGATGGGGCAATCTACTTCTGTAAAGATTTATAGCCTTGGAAGCCCAAGGGGGGTCTCTATGAGATGGAATGGACTAGATGGCAGTGGGTTTGGTTTTCTGAGTTTTTGTGGTAACGAGAGTGTATGTGTATGTGTGAGGGGGAGGAGGAGAATTGGAGGTGGTGACAACTATTCCCTAAGGCGCAGAACAAAGCTGTAGTTTACCATCCACCAAATGTTTCCAGCTTTCCTCCTTCTAGCCTTAGAGGTAGGCTGCTTATCTGCCCAGAGCTACTGTTGTGGTCCTAGCTCCCCTGGGCAGGGCTGCTCAGGCCCTTCCTCATTCTTCCAGTTGCCTCCTCCATAAAAGGAAACAAGGAGCTCCGGTAGCATAGTGGCTAAGGCACTTGACTGCTAACCAGAAGGCTGGAGGTTCAAATCCACCAGCCACTCCTCAGAAGGAAGATGGGGTAATCTACTTCCGTAGTGATACTGCCTCGGAAACCCAAGGAGGGGTCGCTATGAGTCGGTCTGACTCGGCATATAACAACAACAACAGGACTCTGGTAGCATAGTGGCTAAGGCACTTGACTGCTAACCAGAAGGTTGGCGGTTCAAACCCACCAGCCACTCCTCAGAAGGAAGATGGGGCAATGTACTTCCATAGTGATACTGCCTCAGCAACCCAAGGAGGGGTCGCTATGAGTTGGGTGTGACTCGACGGCCCATAACAATAACAACAACATGACTTTGCAAGAGGCTGTTGCACTGGCTGTATAGAGTCCTGGTAAAGTGTTGTTACATTTTCATATTGTCCATAGAATCAGTGGTTACTGCTTTTGTGACAGTTACTGGAGTGTGCTATTGGCATTGACTGAATGGGAGCCAAGGATGCTATATACTCCCTGCAATTGAGCAGTCATGAAAAATGAAGCATTGTCTCTTCCTAAATGTGAAAAGCATCCCTTTTCAGAAACCCAAGATAATCTGGCAACTTTCCCAGAGAGAAAACCCAAGGATGGGGGGACAGAGTGCTCAATTTGCCATGTATTCACTCCCTCTTCCCTCTTCCTCCCCAACAAGGTACTGTGATTACAAGGGGCTTTGCAAATGTTTTCTCCCAGTACCTGAATCACCTGGTGATTACTGTTCCCCCTTTACTGAGGAAATGGAGACCCACAGAGGTTAACTGCTTCTCCCAGATCTCAGTAAGTGGTGAAGCCAGGACACAGTACAGGTCTGGCTGGTACCAGCATCTGTGGGCTTTTATTTATGTATTCATGTATTTGATTGCTTGGCATTCAAAACCATAGTTAATAATATAAGGAACATCATGTGCCAGCCACTCTGCATAAAAAATAAAATGCTTCAGATACAATTGAAGGCATGGTGTGTGCATCCTCTCTCTGAGTCCATGCTCCTGTGTCCCTTTCCAGAGGTAATTAAATAGCAGAAAAGACACATCAATTATGCTCACTTTATAAAATTGAATATTACTATGGAGGTCTGAAATTACATGTGTCAAGAAGGACAAACCGAAAAAAAAATGTTGAGCAGAAAAAAAAAGATTAGTGGAAAGGCTTAAAATTTGATAATTCCATGCATATAAATCTCAAAACTATTCAAAAATACTGTGTTATTTGTGGATAATATATCCATGGAAATGATAAGCAGCAAATTCAAGATAATGATTACCTCTGGAGAGGGAGGTAGGGGCATGAACTCAGAGAGAGGATATAACAGGGCTTCATTTGTATCTGGATTTTTTCTTTTTCTTATGGAGAGTTATGGATGTTTGATAATATTATAAGATATGGTGCAATATTACACATACACACAGCCTTGCTTGCTGAAAGTGAAGATGGCTTGAAACACATACTGATGAAGATCAAGAGATTACAGTTGTTAGTATGGATTGCATTTCAATATAAAGAAAACAAAAATCCTCACAACTGGACCAATAAGCAGTATCATGATACATGGAGAAAAGATTGAAGTTGTCAAGGATTTAATTTTACTTGGATCCACAATCAACACCTCTGGAAGCAGCAGTCCAGAAATAAAACAACACATTGTGTTAGGTAAATCTGCTGCAAAAGACTTCTTTAAAGTGTTAAAGAACAAAGATGTCACTTTGAAAACTAAGGTATGCCTGATCCAAGCTCTGGTATTTTCAAAATCCTCGTATGCATATGAGAGCTGGACAATGAATAAAGAAGACTGCAGAAGAATTGATGCATTTGAGTTTTGGTGTTGGTAAGGAATATTGAATGTACCATGGACTGCTAGAAGAAGGAACAAATCTGTCTTGGATGAAATATAGCCACAATATTCCTTAGAAGCGAGAATGAGAATAGCCAGACTTTGTCTGTCATACTTTGGTAATGTCAGAAGGGACCAGTCCCTGGAGAAGATAGCATGTTTAGTAAAGTAGAGGGTCAGCACAAAAAGGGGAAAACCCTCAATGAGATGGATTGATGCAGTGGCTGTGACGATGGGCTTAAGCATGGCAACGGTTGTTAGGATGATGCAGGACCGGTTAGTGTTTCATTCTGTTGTACATAAGGTCTCTATGAGTCGGAATTGATTTGACGGCATCTAACAACATGCTGTAATATAAAAATGATATGACATAGTGTTATATTATCTTGAATTTGGTGCTTCTTTCTTCCATGGATGTTTTATCTGTAAATAATATTATATATATTTTTTATTATTTTCAAGTTTTGTGTGTGGAATTAACCAATTTTATGTGTCCTTTTGCTATTTTTTTTTTGCTTGACATTTTTTTTTGAGATCTGTCCATATTGATACATGTAGTTTTAGACTTCTGTATTAATATTCCATTTTATAAAGACAGCGCAATTAATGTATCTTTTCTGCTGTTGATAGGCCTTTAGATTGTTTCCTATTTGTCATTCTTACAAATGCTGATATAACATGTAAATAATCCGATACATAGCTCCTTATGCACAGGTACAAGAGATTTTTTAGGAGTGGAATTGCTAGGTCATAGGTCATGATCAAATCTGTCCTCAGAGTGGCTGCACTAATTCCCTTCCCCACTAGCAGTACATGAGAGTTGATAGGCTCACATTCTTGCCAACCCTTGGCATTATTATCCATACATTTTCCATGCTGCCAGATCACCAGAAAATGTAGGAGGGGAGTAGGGAGTAGGGAGGTAAGGTTTTACAATTATGAGGAGAATGTCAGTTCTGAGAAATTTTCTGTTGTTATTTTAAGGAGGAAAAGATTTTATTCTCTGTTTTGGTGAAAATAATGTTTAGACTTCTGTGGAAAACCGTTACATTTTTAGTCTGAAGTAAAGGATTTTTTTTTCTTTCCTTTTTGTGTGTATTGGCAAATAAGCAGAAAAGGCCAATTAGCAAGCTAATGTTCTAAATGTTCACTTGCAGTGATAGTTATTTTTAAATGTTTCAAATAGCTTGACGTATTGGATTTATTCTTTCTACTTTTCAAAGTTTTGAATTTGCTAAGATGAATTGAATTTAAAATAGGACACAGCTTTATGTATAAAGATTGACCATGATTATTTGCCATTTTATATTAATTTTATAGTGTGGAAAAAATAAGTGATGGGAAGACGTGTTTACATTTTAAAGCAAAGAAGAAAAGTCATAAACCGTTACTTCAGGCATTTATGTTGTCTCTTGTGTTTACAGGTGGGAAAGGAGAAGTTCCACAAATCTCAACATTGGGGCTTTTGCAACAATGTTGGGATGCTGGTGAGTGATGAAAAACCTGGAATAGGTGGAGAACTGCTTCTTGGGCAAAAGCTGAAGCCTAAATACAGTATGTATCCTAAAGGAACAGAGTCTGATGTACCATCATGGGTAGCTTTTGACAAACAGGTAAGGCACGTGACATTGGGAAAATTGCAATCTTTAAGTTTTCCATGTACTAAATACTAAATAGATTTGAGAAAATAAGAGTCATTGATGTAAATGTTAAGACTAATTCTTCTGAGAAGACAAATAATACCCCTAAACAAAGAAAAAATGATGTCTGTGTTGTTGTTTCTGACCAAGTGTACTGATTGAAGGACACTCAGTATTCATCTTTTTTGGCTAATGCTCATCAGCCTTTCTGTCATCTCTTTCCCTGGACAGGATACTCTGCCCTTCTATAGACACTGAGGGTCTGGTCAGACTGTCACTGTTGCTTAGTGAGTTGCTATTAATTAAATGATTTTATTTGACTTGAAATGTGGCATTAAGTAGGAACAAAAGATGCCTTCTTTTCTTTTCTCCATATTGACTATGGTTCCCTATCCCTAGGGATTGAAGGGTGCCATGACAAGAATTATAGAAGAGAAGGAAAGAAGGTGCTGTTGCTATACAACAGCATTTGTCTATAATACATTTGTCTATACACATAACACACACATATACACACACACACAGATCTTGACAGGTGAAAAAAGTAATTCATTCGAATATCTTAAAAAGGGACTAAGATCAAGTGAAAAACCAAGGTGACCAGTGATTTCCCATAAGCCAGATATACAGATATACTGTGTTTATCAGAAAACCTGTAGCACTGTCCCATGTTCTGTTCTCCAAAAATGATCTGTGTTAATCGATTATTTTAGATTCTATACTTAAAAAATAATTCAGGACTAGATTGATCAAGAATTCAAACTTTTGTCATTTGATCCTAAGTTTACTGGTGGGATTTGTTGTTGTTGTTATGTGCCGTCGAGTCAAACCCGACTCATAGCGACCCCTCCTTGGGCTTCCGAGGCAGTATCACTACGGAAGTAGGATTGCCCAACCTTCCTTCCGAGGAGTGGCTGGTGGGTTTGAACCGCCAGCCGTCTGGTTAGCAGGCAAATGTCTTAGCCACTATGCTACCAGAGGTGGGATTTAGGCAGCCTTAAAACATGGATTGGTTGACAATGCTTTGATTCCATTTAAAATGTCCTCAAATTTGGTAGAACTGACACATCCTGTATCACCTGTGTCCAGGTAGGTCAATTAGAACACATATGTGTTTTGAAGCTCATGTCTGACACTGAGTTCTGACAGACCACTGGGAAGCTTCTTTCATGGGAAACCATGCACTTTGAACATGGGCCAATATTTCTTTTTCTTTGATTTAAATTTTCAGTACCTGGCTCAGTACTGGATCCCAGACCAGAGCTCAGAAACTATTTCTGGGCTGACTCACCTGGTGGATTATGCACGGTTTTCTGTTATTTCCAATCTTATGTGTCTTTGCCCATCATTATTCTAGAATATTTCAATTTTCAAGGGCCAAAAAAAGATTATATTTTTACTTCTTGCTTCAAAAAGAGGATATTGGTAATATTTTAAACTAATCCACTACTGAATAAGTAATGTCGTAGACCACAATACATTAAACTATTTTCTTGCATTGAAAATTGAAAATTCATTTTATTTCATGTTTTCCTCAACATGTAATATGTGCTTTTCAAGCCTATTTTGCAGCCCTTTAATTACTTATAAAATTATGTGGAATATTTCATGAAGTTGGAATAATGTTAGCTTCAAACTACTTGAGAAAATGAAGAGCTTGCTCATTTCAGATCTAACTAAATGCAACATAATTCTTTCAGTTATTTTGTTGGTCAACTTCAATTAAATATTTATTGAGCTTTAAATGAGACACTAAGACTATGAAATATTTACATGTTCTGATGAGATTGTACACTGCAGACTGGATCCTGGTTAATACCCAGAGCAAATTATAAAGCACTTTCTACTTTTGTGGTCCAACAAAACAAGTCAACACCTGTTAATCATTTTTCTTAAAAATCAGACATTTTCAACTCGTTGCCAGTTTTTGCAATGGCTTTTAATCATAACAATATATGTAGAATAAGCACTCTTCAAACAATGCAAAGTGAAAATAAAGGTGATTTTTTGGAAAGTGTATCAAAAATCAGTATTTGTAGTAGATGCTGCTGGTGCCCTTGCAGACCCATGTGAGGGGCAGTGTGCCCATGCCCCCAGCTGCTGCAAGTGCTTTGAGAAACAGCTTACACCTGCAGCCCTCTGGAGAATTGCTCTTGGCTGATGAGATTTATATCTCCCAGAGATGTCTGGGAGGTTATACTCGCCCTCTCCTGCCAAGCATGGGGAGGGGGAGAAGCGGGTACAGTCATGACTGATTGAGTCAAGGCTTCCAAGCCGAGCTTCTTGCCTCCAGGCTGGGCAACTCTGGGTGATTTATGCTCCATAGCTCCATGGGCATCAGGTCAAGGCCAAACTTCACCTGAGAACACTTCCTCGAGTAGCTCATTTCCATTTCCCTTACTCCTGTACATGTTTCTCTCAAGATTGCACCCTTAATAAATCATGTGCACCTAAATCCCTGTTTCAGGCTATATTTCTGTGGAACCCAACTTAAGATAACATTCCAGGTTTTAGCCATAATTATAACGTTGTTCATCGTTATGTGCCATCGAGTCAGGCCCGACTCATAGCGACTCCTCCTTGGGTTGCCGAGGCAGTGTCACTACAGAAGTAGATAATTATAACAGTCACCATCAAAATGCTCTGCTCAGGCAGCCCATAAAATTATAAGCAGAGAAGATGCTATTTGAACACACCAGGAAGAGCCAGTATAGATTATCCTGCATGGCCCCCATGGTGGACACTTCTAGCTGCTTTTCCTTTATTCATTATTCCCTTCATTGTTACAGACACAACACCAGTTTTATTCAGGCTGGAAATGTACCCACTTAAAAATGTTCACCTCCCTAGGCTCCTTGCAGCTAGAGCAGGCTATATGACTGACTAGTGATATATATGAGTCAAGGTTTCTTGGCCTTCTGGGAAAATTATTGTTTGTCTAATAAAGAGAGTCAGGCTCAGCTGGTAAGCTTTTCCTGCCCTTTGACCTACCATTCATTGTTTTCCTGCCTAGAACTAGGACACCATTCCTCAGGGCATGGCAGCCATCTTGTAGGTACAACACAGAGGTAAAGGGAACCTGGTCCCTGTTGGCATCAGGGAGCTAGCATTCTCACCTCTGGCTGCCTCTGTATCTGAACCTCTTGTTTCATGAAAAATAGTAACTCCTATTTAAGAGGTTCTCAACCTGTAGAAGCATTTAGAAATGTTTGGAGGTGTTTGAGGTTGTCACAATGATTAGGAGCCAGGGCCAGATTACGGTGAAGCAAGTGAGGCACTCAGTTGGGTGCAGAATTTAAGGGGTGCCCCCCAAAACAACTCAGTAATTGAGATCAAAGATATTTAAATGGAATATTTTAAAAATGAAAATTAACACAAAAAAATCCATGATGAACAAAATTGCAACATTTTAAATAAAAACAGGATCAGTAATTTAGTCACCTGAGTCATATTGGAACTTGAGGCAAAAGGAAAAATCAGTAATACTGATCCTGTCTTTATTAAAATGTTAGTATTTTGTTCGTCATGGATTTTTTTACATTAATTTTTATTTTTTAAATCACCGTATGCTAGAGTGAGCCCCTACTGGTAAGTGCTACTGCCATTGAGTACCTGGGGCACAAGTATGTAGTGCACATTCTGCAGTGTCAAGGGGCAATGCCATACTGGGAAGAATTGTTCTCCCATTGAGAAACTGCAGTCCTACTTGATTTAAACCCCGGGGATGTACTGGATGTATACAAACAGCCAGACATAATTCTGCCTAATACAGCACTCACCTCCAAACACTAGTTATCTTATTGGATTCATTTAAATAACAGGCACATAGTCACACCAGTTATTTCCAGTTGTCTTCCCAGCACCTCCATGAGAGTGAAGCAAACATGTGTGATTGTCTTCACTCTGTGAATGAGAAATCATTTGCAAGGATAAGTGGAGCAGGGGCCAGGGTTCTGTGACTGGGTGTTGGAAACACTGGTTCTGGTCTTGGTCCTTCCACTAATTATCTGTGATTGCAGCTTAGTCATGTCACCTCTCTGAGCCTCAGATTCCGTGATTATAATGTGGGACATGGCTAGCTCATCCCTAATGCCCTTTACCTGTAGTCGTAATTTGACTTGACTGCCATGAAATTCAGATTGCTCTTCCCAGAACTGAGCCCAGACCTTGGAACTCCTGGCCTGGGGCTCTTTCTAATTATACTAGGCACCAACTGCTTTATTATTAATTTAAATTTGGCACTTAGCAGTTTCTGGTATGCTGCTGATGCTACAGTATATGAACTATCATTAGCTGCTTTTATAAAAAGTCAGAATATTTAGAAATGCACAGATGACTGGATGTTTTTATATGATTTTTTGTCTGAATGTTAAGCACCATTTACATAGACACTGCAATTATGCTCTCATTTCTTTTCATTTGTCAATAGCTCCTAGTTAGCCTAATTTGTTTGCCATTTTGCAAATGACTCATTATGGTAAGTGGCAGGATAAAGGTTGATTTTATCGGGGATACATACATTTAAAAATATTATTTAATTTTTTTCCAACAATTGTAAGTATAATAATTATAATCAAAACTACTGACCACGGAATTAGAATTTTAATAGCTTTGAGTTAATTGCCTTTGGGTTTGTGGTAAACTACTTATGTAGTATTGTGCAAATCTCTATGCTTTGAACAATATTAAAACAAATTTTTCAAAAATAATCTTTCTGTGGGATCACCTTGATTTTTTTTAAAGATAAAATCCTTGTCAGGTGTAACATTGTAGTTAACAAATCGTACCTGCTATTTGTTGACTTAAATTTTAGATTGATTTTGTTCTGAATTTTTAATCTGTAGAGCCATAGTTATTTATGCACTTTTCCCCTCTGGATTCAAATCAGCTACATATTCATTTGAACCATTAAAAATAAATATTTGCCTCCTTTGATTTTGTATTTGTAGGATACTGCTCTATGGTAAACTCAC